GAGAGAGAGAGAGAGCAAGTGTTGCAAAGTTGAATCTCATAGACGATTATATTGTTACGAAGAGAACTAAATGTGATTAGTCATAACAGACAGAAATTCTTATAATAATAAAAGATAAAATATTTGTCTTTTTATATCTTCTCAATTTGCATAATTACAAGATATTTATGTAAACTTGATAAAATAAAAAATAAAAAACTCTGAATAAAAATTACCACAAAATTTTACATAATCGTATAATATTTTACATATTTAAATGCATTGTTATCGTCGTTCTTATAAATATAAATATTTATATTCTTATAATAAAAATTTAATTCTCGTCGTCTATGAAAATTTTCTACAGTGAGTCGGCCACGTCAGAATTTGCTTTTTATGTCTGATTGCTTTTTATGACTCGACTCGACGAGGATCGTCATGCCATCCTCGTTTGTAAGTTTACTCACAGCAGCGGTGCATGGGATATGTTGCATGCCGGTGTATTGGTGCTCTTGCTGTGTGTCTTGCCATATGAATTTTCGGATTTTGGTGATGGTGATGGTAGTTAGAATTTAAAGTCATTTACATTTGTCACCTTGATCGAGATCCCACTGTCATCCTCGTCCTCTTCGGTCATTGTCGTCAGCCTCGTTGTCTCGTCAGCCAGCAACGAGTTGTCTTTTTTCGGATGCTTCTTTTGCTTTCCCACGCTGATTCAGGCAATTATGAACTTAATTAGTTTTAACAATTAAAAGTTAATTTACATTAATTTCTATCCTTTTTATTCTATCGAAATTAGTCGTTGTCAAGAAAATGTTAACATTAAGTTAACAAACCTTTTATATTTCTAATATTTTTTATATTTTATGGAAAGTTTATAATATTTATTTATAATATTTATTAAGAAAATAATATTAAATTTTATGTTGGAACAAAGTTAAATTCTATGAATGTTTAATTACATTTTAATTACATTGCGACTAATCGTGTTGCCCCTTAATTATCAATCAATACTTTATTATCTTTATCAGATTGATTGCGATATTTTCGTTTGATTGACAATTTAATAATTGTTATTTTCAAGTTGCTATAATGTGTTGATTCTATATAATCACAGTGCCTTACATGAATGGAATTTGCGATTTAAGCTTCCATGAATATCTAACCAAAGTTGATCCATCATTGATGGATCGTCAATCTTGAAGAAACGCAAAAAAAATCCTTTGTGTATTTAGAAAAGAGGAAGAATAAAATATATAAATATATAAATATATAATAAATATATAATAAATTGCAAAAATATATAAAATATATAAAAAAATACAATAAAATATAAAGAGAGAAAACACAATAATCCTTCATATTAATAATCATATAAAATTAAAATATGTGTTATCTTAATTTTATTAATAAAAGTTATTAAAAATTTGTAATATTTAATTAACAATTTTGATTATTCCATTTATACGGTTGATTGTTATATAGTCTGCAAAATAAAATTAAATGAAATTCGACTACTTACTTGATCAATGATTTTGACTGCTTCGATTTTTCGTTGCCTTCGTTGACTTGTTGCCAGATACCAGTTTTGTTCACCTCCTCGCTGATGTTGATACTCGCCAGAGGAATTTTCATGATGTTCCCATTCGCCAGAGAGATCTGAATGTTTCCCGGGGGTCCATATCCCATTGTTTCGTTCTGATCCTGCAGGGCGAATGAAACAATAGTTTGAATCTCATTCTCTCTCTCTCTCTCTCTCTCTCTCTCTCTCTCTCTCTCTCTTTCTCTTGTTCTCTCTTTAATGCGCGATGGATTTCTATCAGGCCATGCATAAATTTAAGCGAACTTTGCGTTGCCTTCAAATTGCCGGGAAGCAGGCGTGATACGTTACTTGCCAGCATGTCTTTCACGAACCAGTCAATTATACGCGGCAATAAATTATAAATGTATATGAGGAAGTAATAGCTCGGTCAGGGACGTCACGTAACGCTATAAATAAATTTACAAGGGTGTAACTTGATGTGTAGATAAATCTAAGAAAAGAATGCATAATAGAAAAATCAGTACGACGAGCCTATGACGACTGTAGAATTATGTTAGCAGTTTTCAGTTAGTTTTCTCTCGGGAACGGGAAGTAATGTTAAAATAACGATTCTTTTCACCTTGAGAATTACGATGAATATTATCATTCTATCCACGCGTAATGACCGGTATGTCAAATGATAATAATCGACATTGATACTTAGATCCTGCGAGACGGTATTAGCATTTATAGTGATATCAAAATATTTAAAAAGAATATAAATATTAACAGGTACATTTTTATTAATTTCATATCTGTTATTATTCTTTTTAATAATTTAGCAAATAAAAGTGTCGTGCAGTTGTACCGATATAGGTAACCCTCGATTAGCATTAGATGCAACATGTTCTTGTTATCATCACGTTATTTGCAGAAAGCAGCATTCATAACATGCTATTATTCAGTTTAGCGATTAGTAGCGTACGATTATTGAGACGCATCTATCGCAATGTGCATCGTCGCGTCCGTTCCCCAAAAAGTCTCTCCGATTATAAATGGGCGTAGAGTGTTTGTTGTTCGCTGAATCGTTCGTTTGCAGAAAGAATATGATTGTCGGCTATATGCGGCGAAACTATATGTGACGTGCACTTACGGTGACGTACCGATGACAGGCGGAGGATTCGACGACTGGCATTTTTTTCATTTGCAATTTCCGTATTGTCGTTCGATATCCGTGATTGTCCGGCTCGTCTGATTTCTTTCAGTTGCTCTTTCCCGCTCTCTCTCATTTTCTATCGCTGAATCGTCACTCTCCTCCGTGAGTCACGGTGTGCTTCTGCTCAGTTATTCTGTCTTTAATTGCATTGTTAACAACGAACGCACGCTGTCAGCTGTTACACAGTGCGACGTTACTCATTTAATTGCCTTGCTCGCGTTAAAATGATTAGAAGAGTATTATATTATTTTTTTTTACTGATATTATTTTATCGGATGATATTAGAAATTATACATAAAAATAATTACACCGTTTTAGACATGTTAAATTTCTACTTATTTTGCTAAAATTATATAATGAAAATTTTTCTTATTTCTTCGTTGTCATTTGATTTATAATAAAAAATGAAGATAACAAAAACTTGAAGACATTCAAAATAATTGAAACAAAATCTCCCGATAATAAATTTTAACCTAACATGTAATAAATATGTAATTTTATTTTTGCAGTCTAGCTATTAAAAATTTTTTATTTTTATATAAATTAAATTTAATTCGTATTTAAATTATAAAAATAAAACTCAAATAAAAATGATGGAACCAAAAAGATAGTGAGATTCATTTTACAATATAAATATGTAAACTAAACACTAGTTATTACAAAATATTGAGCTACTGTTATTTAGTATTAGTGTATTTTGCGTTTATTTTTCATTTTTGTATGTTACTGTTGTTTCTCAATTAATAATAATTTTTTAATAATCAGAGCAACTGATATTTAATTATTATGAAAGATAAGTACAAGAGCTCTCAGGCAGATGAATGTGTTGTTAAATTACGTGAGCCGTTAATTGTGTTAGGAATTGTTGGAATTATATAAAAAGGTTTCGTGTGTTTCGAAACAGTAATGTATTTTTACATGATAAGATAAGTGAATTGTATGTACGACGGCGCAATAAATCAGTACAAGAATCCCGAATGTCCACAGAGAGGGATATCGGCGACACGGTGATATATTAAATGCAATGAATACTTTGTTTTTCGCCAAGTCGCAAATATCGATCGCGGTGCGTCAATCGTTATTCGATGAATATCTTCGTTGATACCATTTATGTAGGTAGGCAATCTGCTTCCCTTTCAGTAATCAATTAATTATAAATATATTAAAAAATTCGCAATGCAGCGAGCGTGTACTCTCCCATGGTGAACTGATCATAATTTTATTTTAAACAGCCCTTTCTGTAAATTGGAATGTATAAATTATGTAGAAGAGAAACGCTACACTCTAATTTACCCGAACATACAGATCAAAACAATATTGCTTGCAACAATAATTTCCCTTAATAACCGTTAATAATTTATCATGTGGTGGTTGATACACACGACTATATTTGTCACGATTATTATACTCGTGCATGACAGTATTATTCAATTTTAATTATTTTACATGATAATGAAATAGGAGACTGCATTTTCTTATACCTATCTTAAATTCGCCTATATCGTCAACATATAAAAACAAAAATAATTATATATAATTCCATCAAAGACGTCACATATCAATCATCGATATCGATGATGATGAAAATTCATGGCACGCGGTTCACCATTGAAGAATAACCAATAATCTCGAGTGAGGTGTTGCACAAAATAAAATTTCGGGTAGCCGTCGATTATGTCGACGTGTTTGAAGCGCTCGCAAAAAACGATCAACATTCAACACATTAATCTCTAATCTCGCTACAACAACGATACTATCGATACAAATGCTTAAGATTGCGGTATCCAAAAGTCTACCGTATTCAAAAATTCAACAACGATTATCATTATATTTATTTTAATTATTTTAATACTGGTCGGCTGGTACACCACCTGGATTTAAGGATAAGATTGTTTGGCACATGTTCCGAGGGAAGACGAGAGGATGGCTTTCGAGGCCGAGTTTTTGGAGTTCGTTAAAAAAAAAGTATAAAAATTTGCCGCAGTAAATACTCGAAACAACAAATATCATGTATTTTCATAAAATTGCAGATTTCAATTCGCAAAAATTTCAAAAAAATTCTTTTATTCCGAAGACATAGTCCATATATGTATTTTCGATGTTTTTTTTTTTTTTTGTGTAATACCGTTTTCATCAACCTAGTTCTCATCACTCTATTCAGACGGTAAAATGTCTTTTGCGAAAATAAAAAAATTTTTGATCATAAAAAGGAGCAAAGTGTTGTTTCGACGTAATAGTAACCGTAGGAAGTGTGCGTTTTGCATAAAAATTATTGGTCCGTTTGTTTCCTTTTTTTTTAATTATTAAAGGCCGAAATTTGGCACTCTTAAATTATTTTGCTGTAATTATGCTTTTTAAATTAAATTGTATTCTAGCCTCATATTCGAAGATCCTATCTCTTTACTCGAATCTGTTCCTCGCGGCGACGAAAAAACTAATTTGCTTTAGGTGTCATTTGTCCGCTTATTCGTCGTAATATACATCGTTTCTTCTGCAAAGGGCGGATTCTCCGAAATCGGAGAGAGTTATGGTGACCACGGGGCGTTTCGCCACGCGATCACCGTCTGTATGCTATTTGCGACAGGTGATGGCGTTTAATATTCGTGTCGCGGTGCTAACCTCGCCGTTCTCCAACTTGCGAAGATCGTCGGCATGTTTCTTGCTTGGTTCCGGCATTATGTCATCGAGGATTTTCAACTCGCGTTGCGTAAACACCAGATCCAGGGCTTTACGTATGCCGATCATTACCACAAGCTGCAAAATTTCATACACGATTATATCACTAATAAAAATATATTATATTATTTTTTCTTCTTAAAATATTAACTTAAAAATTAATGCTACCATGAGAATATAATATTATTAGCTGTACGTTATGAGATAATTTTATTGAAACTAACTTTTCCTTAGAATTATGATCCTAAAAAGTTAGTAATTTAATTTTATTTGTAAAATAATTTATTTTTAAATAAAATAGTAATAAAATAAATTTTTAAATAATTAATTTCTTATAAAATTCCTTTTGCAGGTATTCGAAAGGAATAATAGTATATTTCTATTTGAATGTAAATAACTTCTAATTTATTAAAAATTATCAAAATTAAATTAATAGTTCGAAAAATCTTTAGATTAATTACTTACCATTAAAGGAAACAAAATAGAAGTATGGCTAAAGGATTTTATGAGCCATAAACAGGCAAGGCAAGCAAGCTGAATCACAGTAAACATATGTACGCGTTTCAATGGCACCTAAAAATATGTATTTACTTTAAATATGAAAAATATAATAATTTTATATGCAATAATTTAATATAATAATGTGAAATTTAAAAAAATGTGAAATTTTTACATAAAAATTTTCATGTTTAAAGAAAATATTATATAAAATTAAAAAATGTTTTAAGTTTTGATAAAAATAATATATTCCAAACATATGAAAAAGGGCAAATAAATTAAAAAAAAATGTGTTTCGATCTTTGAAGATATCAAAATATTGAAATCATTCGTTTACCTGGCGAAGGAACATGTAGTCCGGCTGATACTTAACGGGCATCAGCATGATCAGAATCCTGTCGAAGAACTGAAGACCTTTCAGTGACGCGACGCCCATGTACAGGAAGACACCGAACAGCACCGGCATCGGTATGTTTCTCAGCATTGGTGTTAGAAGCACCGAGCATCCGATCATCAGGAAAATCAGTATGTGAGTAACTCTCTGCTCGCGGACACCTAAAAACTGCGGCTTCTCGCCCGGCGCGGCACACTCGGATTCCAATTTCAACGAATTCACGTGGTTTATAGAGAGGACTGTCGCTGCGACGAACCATGGAAGGCCCATTACCGAGCATATTTCGATTAGGATCGCCAGAACGAAGAGATCTAGATGGTACCCGCATCCCTTCTACAAAAGCATTGATAAAATTACTAATATCGTTTATCTATCATTGCTGCATTCTTGTGAGTTATTAATCATCGCAATGTGCCCTTTTTTATATTTATTTCACGTCGTGGACGAGAATAGACAGAGGCGTTTCGATGAAGTAACCGCTCACCTTTAATTTGTTCTCTTTTCTATTAACAATAACGGCCGTGATTTGCTGATCCATGAAGATCAATATAGTGCCCAATAAAGCGGGGAGGAATGCACCAACAGCACTCCACCACGGATTCTTCTGAAAAGGCCAAATTATCCATCCTCGTCCCTCTAACGTTGGCTTGAACTCTGCCGGTACCTCCAATTTTGGCGTTGGAATGCCCACAAAATGATCTAATGTGCTCATAGAGAATATCGCGATTATTACTGCAAAATCGCTCACCACTTGTCTCACCTGAAATAACACAGGAATGTAAAAAAAAAGTTACATTATAAAAAAATTTCATAAATTATTAAATTCTCATAAAAACAAAAAAATGTGTATTAGAGACATTAACGTTGGAACAAAGAACATTTTTAAAATTAACGCGAAAAGATATGTTCCACAAATTTACCTTCTCTTGAATCTCTATCTTCAAGGGAAATAAAATTGGTCTTACATTTTCTCCTTTAATTAAAACGTATATTTTTACCTTTGAGGGAAAGAATAAAGCGTTCTTGAAATCTTTGAGCTCTACTGACAGCAAGAACGTGCCCATGAATAGGATAATTGACATAAGGAACACGTCGGGTACGTAATGCGGTGTGTCGCAGCCATTGCCTACCATAGTGCCATTGTAATTCTGAAAGAAGCAATAACAAACACAATATCAAAGAGCAGGCGAATTGGATTGCCTTACAGATCATATATTCTTGCGGATTTAGAAATGCCTAGTAATCTAGTTGCTTGCAGAAACTTGTAATTTCTCAAGAAGATAAGAACGAATGAAAAGCATACGCATTTGATTGTTGCAATTGATCGTAACGACTCGATTTGTGTGCTCGATGTTTCTTATCACTTATGATTATACAAGGCGAGTTGAAATTCAAAGTCTGCAATTTTTGTAATGACACGAGATTACACGGATAGCTGAAATATAACTTGATTTAATAGAAATATTGACGCATTTCAACGAAATCCAAATTTCGAGATGCAACGAAGTTATTATGTTTGGTTAACAGCATGTTTGATAAGCAGATTATCGTACAATTGATCGTATATTACATTTCCGATATTATTACCTCGCAAGCTGTCTTATCCAATGTCGTCCAGTTCATGTGGTCATAACTGGATGGTAAACTAATATTCGGTGGTTTGCACCAGCAATCGTAATCCAATGTTTCATCGGAATAGGTATTTAAGGGAAATTTCTTACCGATTGACAACACATTTTCAATTGCCTAAAACATATGATATAATTTATAATATTACATAATATTTAAAATATATTTGAAACATATTGTATGCGCAATTATATATTTTTGCTTAGATAACTGCACATGTAACACACAAACACTTTTCTTAATATTATAGAATAATATAATATTATAAAATAATTTTTTTAAATTATATGATAGAAAAATTTGATAGAAAAACTTATTCGATATTGTATTTGTTTTTTCTGGACTGTAATACAATTTTTCCTACCTTATAAATAAAAATAAAAGCAATGAGGGTAGCAAAATTTTCCTCCGTAAATCGAGTAATATAGCAGACGCAAGCACTTGCGTCAAGTGCAACGAGAATTAATAGGATTATGGCGATCCATGTACCAATCCAGAAACGGAAGGACATATAACTCCACTCGACTTTTCTGTTAGAAGAAAAATAATCTGATTAGATTATTTTAAAGAAAAAATAAATAAATGAAAATTTGTATTTTATTTATTATTCATTGAATCTATCTCTATCTTCATCAAGTTGCAATCTTCATCAAGGATGCTAATAAAATATAGAATGCAATAATTAAAAATTTTCACCGTAAGAAATTTGACACGTAGATAAATTTTATCGAGACTCACTTGCAAAATTCGTAGACAATCGTTTCAAAAACTAGAACTGGACCAGTGGAACCGAGTATAGTCAACGGTTGACCAGAAAAGAAACCGTATCCTATGCCGCAAACGAAACCGGAAACCAGTGATTCCATAGCAGCCATGTTCTTTCCGGTAGCCTCGCTGAGAAGACCACCAAAGGTAATGATGGGCGACAAGCAGGCAAAGTACAAGAAGATAAAAGACGCTACACATTGAAGAGCAAGGGCATCTTTGAAGTCAGACAAGTAAAACGGAGCTTTTCTCTTAATGTCATTGATCAGACCGCCGAACAGTCTGCCGGATCTCGAAAGGCCAGATTCCTCCCTTAGTTTTTGTTCGTCAGCTTCCTCAAACTCTTCTTTAGGCTTTTCCTCTTTGGGTCTTTTTCTGACTTCCTAAGAACGTCAAAACAAGCTGCGCTTAAAGTGAAGAATACTTTCTACGCTTGTATCTTAAAACTAAGCGTTAAAATCGATATAATTTTAATGATTTCAATTTTCAATGCTGTCATACATAGAAAAAAATTTTTACGGTATTTAATATACATTTTCTGTTGTTTCTGATAAAGATAGTGATTACGTGCATTTACGTGCATTTGTATCATCAATATCCGAACTCATAAAAATTATATCGCTTCTTATTCTCGAGACCATTCTCACCTGCGACGGTATAGCGGCTGGAGGTTCTATTCTGATTGCCGGGTCCCATTCACCGGGTGGTAATACCGTCACGGCATCTAGAAACTCATCAATACCAGCTAAGAGATGATTTCTATTTTTCGCCTTATAAGCCACATCGTGAAAGACTTCATCGGACATCAAAGTTGCCATAGCTCGACCGATTTCGTGAAAACCCGAAATCCCACCCTAGAAATAATTCATGAAATATAAAATATTATAATTCGGTTATATCATATTTAATGTTTAAAAATTAAATCTATTTTATAATCATGCACTTGCGTAAATTGTGTGTGTATTTTAATATAATTTTAATCTTACTTTTCTATATAATCCTCACACACAAATATTTTGTATCTAAGCAATTTATTTTGAATATTAAAATTTCGTAAAATATCACATTAATGTAACATTATATATTATAATAATTATTGTGTAATTTATGAAACAATTATCTAATATGTTATAAAATAACATAAGAAGAGATAATGTATGAAGACTTTGTAAGATTTTATAAAGATTATTAGCGATGTGTAAAGCATTAAAATAAACTGTAATCCCTTTATCGGTAAATAATTTTATCACAAAGAGATTATATACATATAATGTAAAAACTGATGACGTAAAAGGTAACTTTTACATAAGAAGAAAAATGTCATTAAAATACGATTTTAGATAATCGACGTTAAGCTAGATATGCATATACATAAAGGCAAAGAAAAATGGACAAATGGTTCGGACTTGTTATGTTTTTTTAGCTCTCATCTGATTTGAGATTGAATGTGAAAGATGATTATCAGATAAATTTTTGATATAACAGTCAAGAAGAGATATTGATTCGATTGGATAACTTCAAAATGACTTTAAAGAATTTGTTAATTCCTGATGCATTTGTATAAATATACAATGATTTTATCCGATATCATTGACGTTAGCAGAAATTTTATTTGCATTACGCAATATTTGTTTACGCGTTTTATTGATGCTCTAATATTTCAAATAGTTTCAAGTTTATAGAACACATTTGTGCCATATTTCTTCTTTTGAACTTTTTCTTTTTGAACACAGTAATGTCCATAGGGATTTTCCGATATTTTCAAATGCATAGAAAACAGCACATTGGATTTTCAAAAGAGACAAAAATAAAAACTTAATTTAGTTTCTGTGCTATAGAAAGCTATCTCTCTTATGATTTAATTTGAAAAGAATATTTTAATTTATCTAAATTTAAATAAGAAAAGAAACCAAATTATATTTACAGTAAATGAATAAATATATTTTAATTAAAAATAAATATTTTGTATTTATTAACAATTTTTAGGAATTTTCAATTTGTTTTTATATTTTTCAAACCACACACCAATTACTTTGATCCTGAAGTAAATTTGTCCCAAAGAAATATTACAGTATCAAATTAATTTGTCAATTTAATATTACATATAATATTAATCAATATATTTAAGCATTTTATAAACCTACAAGGAATTTATTTTAAAAAGTATCGTCTTAGCCAGAGTTAAAACTTAAATCTTCCCCCTATCGAAAATATTTTTTAAATTCTTTGTATCCTCCTTTTATAGCAGCAATTCTTTCAGATCAAATTAATGATTGCATCTGAAATAAATATTGCTTGAAGTAGATCACAATCATATTTTATTTTTTACTTTTCGCATTCAATCTGATCTCTACTCTCTACGTGATAGTATTCTTACCATGGGTCCCAGTAGGACAAAGATGAATCTCGTCGGAACAGGAACTTCTGTCAGGTCCCCCATTATCCCGGCCTGACTTAACCGGATGAATGCGGACAAAGTCTTGTCAAGAAAATCGACCTCACCCACGAGTATGTTGCTTGCTTCGGCGCCGGCTGGTATCTTTCTCATAAAATGCGTATTACCCTAATGAGAAAATGGAATTAAAGTTTCTCGGATTAAGCTGTCCTCGAAAGGACCAATCTCGATATTAAAGAACATGGATTTGAATGAGAAAGAGAGAGAGAGAGAGAGAGAGAGAGAGGAGGGAGGGAGGTA